TGTACGTATGTGAACCAAAAGCAAACAAGGGACTACCTAACCCTAAGGGTTTTCATTTAAAGTTAGAAGTTTTGCAGTATTGGTTATATGATTCCCAAATAAGTGTCATAATAGGCTACTAGGGGAAGGGGCAGAGGGTTTTCTGTAGATTGATTGATAGTAGAATGATTTATTCAGTAGGTATTTGGAAGATTATTTTGGTGGGAAAAATTTACCTAGTGTGTACATTCTCAACGGGAAGATGCTATTACTTCTGCAGTCTGTGCTGTTAAATCTGACTTCTTGTTCAGTTTACAAAGCCAATATCATCCTGTGTTAAAACTCAGGATATTTAGAGCAAGGATCTTGCCTGTGATTTAGCAGCAATCATTCATTCAACAACAACAAAAATGTTTTTAAATAGAAATAAAGGATTTTTCTACAAACTGAGCAGAATAAATCATTTGGTACTGTTATCTAGAAGAAAAGACTTGAGATTATCTCCAAGAGTCTGGTTATAGAAAACTTTGTTTCATAGGCCAGAAGAACTAACTTCTGTGTAGAGGTTAATTAGACTCATAGTGATAGTAGAGTGATAGTAGTTGATGTATGTAGGAGCCTAGTTACAGTAGTAACTGAGATTGAGAAAAGGAAGAAGGCTTTAATTTTTTTTTAGTGTAACATTTGTGACTTTGTGTATTATAAATCCTTTGAATCTGTTTTGCTGTGTTTATGAATTAAATTTGCTAATATATGTCTATTACTGCTTCTTGGCATATTAGAACAAGCAAAGGTCTAGAAGTTACTGAGGAGCATTATCTAATACTTTTAATTTAGGTAACAGTTGTATATATTTCATGAATTCTTCATGTAGTCTTCAATTACACACATAGTGTATTTATAGTTGCAGAAAACTTTGATAATAATTTCACTAACCATTGCCAGAATTAAATAAATTGCTTCCACATAATAGAATTTGATTTTAAATCCAGATGTATTCCTTCTAGAATTTTCCTTTTTCTCAATCACTGCCCTTCATTTCATTATAGGTATCAATATATTTGCTACTTTAAAATGCTATGATTAGTTTCTGTTCAAGTGATTTGAGTATGCTATTTCTTGCTTGTATAAATCTGGAGTTTGTAAAATAACACTTTCAGTAAGTTATTCACTATCCTACATAGTTTACTACGAGTAGTGTCCTTGGAAAAGAAAAAATGGTTTTTCATTATTTTCTCTGCTGGTCAAGAAGAACCAGCTTTTGTGTGTGTGTGCGTGTGTGATGTTTAATTAAAAGTTTCAACATTCTTACAAGTCTTTAATCATATTGTTAGTAATAAAGCAAACAGATTTTTAAGGTATGTGTATGTGTTCCTTTTGTTTAATAGTAATTTGGTTGGCAGCGAAATTAGATACCAAAGGAGTATTTTATTAGCCATTTCCATTAAATATCAACCAGGAGATAAAGAAATTTAGAAATTCTAATGTGATTTAAGGTTAATGGACTTTTAAGAGTGTAAAAAAAAAATGTTTAGGCCAGTAGTGGCAAACCTATGGCACTCATGCAATGGTGGGCTATTGATGTATTGAAAGCTCTAAAAGGTTTGCCATCACGCTCTGTTTAGAAGATTGCTATTTGTCCCAGATCAAAAGAGATTCTCCTTGGTTAAAGATATACCGAATGTAGGGCCAGGGATTTAGCGCAGTGGTTTCGCCGCCTGCTGCGCAAGCAGAAGGAGCTGAGTTCAATCCCCGGTACCAAAAAAAACACCAAAAACAAAGATATACAGAATATATATGTGTTTACTTACATGTTGTGTATTTGTATGTATCTTTCTAATGGTGATTTTTCCAGAATTTTTCTAACACATTGGAAGCATGATCTGTAGGAATAAATGCCAGTAAATGTGCTTCCACAGGATGGCAGTGTGGTAGTATTTTCATGATGTAATAATGATTTATAACATTATTGGTGTTGTACATTTTCTTAGGGCTCAACACTTCATTGCTTTAATATTCTGGTTTAAATGGTAAGAAAAGTAGGTTGACATGGATGAGTGTAAAGTTGTAGTAGATAGGGATAGTAGTTTGGCCAGGCTTCCCAAAGAATTCATAGGAAGGAGAATTGATAGAGAATGATTGTTATGTGGTTGTATTGTTGAGGCCTTCTGAGAGCTGAAGAGAGCAATATAGACCTTATCCATTACCTCTTCCCTGCCCTTGTCAAGAAGAGATGAGATATCTTGCCTCTTTGTTTTTATAAAAGTTCTCCCTCCAACACCAGTGTAACACATTTGCTCCATTGTATTATGGTTGTGTATGCCCCTGATTTTACCATTTTATGAAAATCTTGCAGGCTGAGTAGGATTGATCTTGCTAGAATTTTTTTTCTTACAATGCCTTGCTCATATTAGATGTAAAGTTAATATTTGAATGAATATGAATAAAGGTAATTTTTAAGCACATTTTGAGATGCTATGGTACAGAATCTGCAGAAATTCATATGCTTTTATTTTGCAGCCAAGGTTGTTTTTTGTGTTTATTTTTAAGAATTTAGTTAGTTTACCATTTCTGTCTATTCAAGTAAATCTGGTTTCTTGTTTTCTGCATTTTAAAATGATTAATAAATGGGATTTAAATTGAGAGATTGAAGATGTATATGTTATTTTATAAATTCAAGAAGAAAAGTGCTTTTATTAAGTAAGATAAATTTGTGGTATTTGAGGCTGATTGTCTGGCAAGCAACCCTAAACTTTTTTTAATGGAAATGCTTACCTGTGCATTGAAATGTACTCGAGATAGGATATACACTCCCCTAGGTAAATATCTGATTTAGTGGTCCAGAGGTGACCTAGGTCCAGTTCTCTTACAAGATAATCCTTATCGTTGATTTATTGCAGACATCCAAATTTGTTCCTTTGGCACATGTAGGTAGGTATAAATGAGACTAATTGGCATAGAGAAGGTTATTATCATAGACTTCTCATTTTCAATATGTCTAGAAATGAACTTGAGCAAATGCCTAAGGGGGATCTTTTTCAGTAGTTATCAAACAGGTAATTGCTGACATTTTTACAGTGTCAAAGAATGGTCCCATTTGAAGAGAAAGAGTACGAATGTGACTACAAATGTGTGCTTTTGTTCACATTATACTTTGTGGAGCATAAAGTGAATAGTACATACATATATTCACATAAATAGTATTCTGGAGAATATAATTACAGGAAAATAGTGTAAAGTCTACTTTTTCTTTAGTGAAAACCAAACATGATCCATAGAGGCAGATTTGAAGAGGAAAATTGCGACTAGCTTTCTGATGGGTGTGGGGTTTCTTTTTATTTTTATTTTGGTACCAGGGATCAAACTCAAGACCTTGTGCTTGCGAGGCAGGCATGGTGCCACCCCAGCCTAGTATGGGGTTTCTTTTAGGGAAATGAAAATACTTGGGGACTAGGGAAATGTAGTGGTAGTTGTACAACATTATGGATGTACTAAGTGTCCCTAAACGTTCACTGTAAAATGGCTCTGTTATATGACTTTCATCTCAGGTGTTTTTTTTTAAGAGATTACTTTTTCATTCACTTTGCATCATTTATTCAGTCTAAATTCTGTGATGTTATTAGCATTCCATGATCATTTTTATTCATGAGGAAGAGAAATCCAACTTTAGATGTGATTTTAATGTTTGCATATAAGTGGACTCAATTATAATTTAAAAATACATAATGATACCAGGTTTTCTCAGGCCTAGATTTTTCTAGTTGTGACTTTGTACACTCAATATTTGTCTAGAGTTGATTTTTCAGTTCCAGATTTTTAAAAGGTCTATTGTGCATAGAATCTTAGGTTATTATTGTTTGGAAGGATGTCACAAAACTGGTTGAACTCTCATTCTGAAAACTGAGTATTTGTGGTTTATATTGTTGTTTGATATCACATAATGACCTTGCCCGCCCTCTTTCTTTTTCCTTTCTGGTTCTGCCTCTGTGATTCTCCTTTTGTCAGAACTTCAACAAGAGACTTAATTTGTAAAAGAAATTTATGGCATTAGAAGACTCAATCAAATTAGATGTCAATTCAAATCATATGACATAGAAAGTTTTATTTTCTTAACTTTCATTCCCTTTCAGCTTTAGTACCTCATGGGGTTTAATTTCATTCCAACATTAATGTCTCTGGAAAGAACATTATTGAGTGAGTTACTTCTGCTCTCTCCTAGGTAGTCCTCCATTAGCTAGAAATCATTGGAAACTTCATTCACATACTTCAATCCCTTCTGTTGAATTTATGTGCTTCTTCTTCTCTCTCAACACTATAGTCACCTCTTACCATACAGCACAGGAGCCAGCATAACATTTGAACTAATAGTCCATAATTTACCTTCAGTAGTTTCTTTTAAAGCTTATTCTTTGTCATCTAGTTAGGTTAGAAGTATATGCTACATGCCATGTTATACAACGTATAGCATACATAAGTGCATGCTAACTTTACTATTCATAAACATATCTGTCTGTTTTTAATAGTTCATTTGCCAAAAGGATACTGAGTATTTTTATAAAATAGTGATATGTGAATGCAAAACAAGTCTTTTACACAAATTGTAATTCCCTCCCCAATTTGCCTATGCATTAAGATTGATATAAGCTAAGAATTCTATAATATACTCTGCTAAGAGCAAATAGTTTTCCTTTATTAGACTCTAAATTTAGTAACTGGTCTGTTTTATGGCTTGACTCTATGTATTTAGTTCTTTAATCAGAAAACTTGGTAAACATACAGTTTAAATTTTTTAAGTATTATGCAAAGAGATACTTAATATTTTTTAAAGTGATAGAATATTTATGATTTATATATAATGTGGTTAATCACCTTTGTCAAATTGATTATATCAGGATTGTATAAATTCAGTTAAAACTTTGCCAAAAACATGTAAATAATATATGCATTTATGTTTTGATTATTTACTAGAAGAAGTAAATTGTTTCTTGTTGAAATCCTTGTTTCCTATTTTGTCTTTATAGCATATAGCACTTTCTACATTGTGGGTTTAATATTATCCATGCAGATACCTTTTGTGGGATTTCAGCCAATCAGAACAAGTGAACACATGGCAGCTGCAGGTATGAAAAAGAATATTTATTACTTCTTCTGAAGAATATATAAATATGTAATTGGCCAGTCTTCCAAAGGAATAATAGTATTTATTTTTAGTTTTCATCATCAGAGTAATCTGAGTAGTAATATTTTGGAAATCTGTAATTAAAACTTGAATCAGAAATTCTCAGTGAAATGTCCATGACTCGTAAGAAGTTCATGTGAATTTCATTTATAACATTTTATAAATATTCAGTTCAGGCTAAATATCCCTTATCTGAAACACTTGGGACCAAAAGTGCTTTAGATTTCAAAGTCTTTCATATACTAGAATATTTCATATACTAGAATAATACTAGACTACCAGATGAGCATCCCTAATCCAGAAATCCAAAATGCTCCAAATCTGTAACTTTTTGAGTATCATATTAGTGTTCAAAAAGTTTCAGAGTTTAGATATTAGATTTTTTCAATTAGGGATACTCAGCCTGTGTACAGAATATAACTTTCTGAGGGGCATTTTATTCTGTTTATTATCAGTGGTGCATAAAGTCTTCCCATTCAGATATTTTACCTGTTATATGGCACTTTGAAATCTATACAAAACTTTTACTTACATTCTCAAATTGATGTCAGTTTACTAAGTAGTAGTCTGAGATACAGAGATATATATTTAGTTTTCAGTATGCATTAATGTATAGTACTGTCAAATATCACCTGTTTTTGTGCAGATGGTTATTACATTTCCTAAAATCTAAGTTTTTGATATTAACCATTCTAAAATGGACTTTTAAAAATAACTCTTTAAGATTAAATTTATTTTGAAATATCAACATTCCAGATGAGTTAGGGCTCTCATGTACTTTTTGTCTAAAATTTTACATCGAATGTTTTTGCATTTTGACAAATATTACTAACTAGTATTGCTTTAGCTTTGTCTTAGTACTTGGCTTTATATTTACTAATTGCAGGTTCATGGCTGGGAGCTGAGAGACCAATTAACAAGAAAAACATAGATTTTATATGACTGAGCCTTCATAAATGAAAATAAATGGAAAATATTTTTAAGCTTATGTTTAATGAAGAGTGGACAGTCTTGTAGAAGTATGATTAGACAAAAGGGAAATTGTGTGTAATGGTAATAAGCTGGAGAATTTAGCAAGTTTTATTTGTTCCAATTCTTTTTGGCATATCTTGTATCTTTTTGCCTCTGGGTGTAGGGAAGACTCCTTTGGAATGAGGATCTTAGGACCTGCTTAGTAGAAAGTTGAATTCTTTTTGTTACTTGTTTTAGGGTAGAACAGAGAGAAGATCACACAGATCTTCCTGTTTGAACTGTTTTCTCAACGAGTTTTAGTATTTTGGGATGGCTTGTCTTGAACCCCAACACTAAATTATAATCTTGTTTAACTGTGTAATTAAGGTCATTCTTATCAATTGTAAATAGTAACTATGTATCAATATTCTCCTGAGTGAAGTCATTTGCTCCTTTTAGCAAAGAAATCTTAAGATTATTTCTTAGTGGTGATTTTTTATTACTTTTCCCACCTAGAAAATATGCTCCTCAAATATAGAGGAAAAGAAAGAACGTAATATTTTAAATAGGCTTCAGTCATTCAAATGAGATTTTTCTTGCCTGGTATATCTATGGGGAGGCTGAATATATTAGAAAAAATTTATAATAGGTTCCGCCACTTGCCCCGCAAATGCAAGGTCCCGAGTTTGATCCCCAGCACCAAAAAAAAAAAATTTATAATAGGATTTCTTTGGTATATTAATTGGTTGGTTGACTGTCATTTGACAAAAGAAAAATTGGCTAGATGAAATAACTAGTCTTTGATGTGAATGACACTGCGTATTCCAAGAAACTCTTTCAAGTGGAATTTTTAAAATTCAAGTGACATTGGTAGAATGCTTTGTTGATCATTAACATGACCTTTCTTTTTAAATTAGGTGTTTTTGCATTGCTGCAAGCTTATGCTTTCTTGCAGTATCTGAGAGACCGATTGACAAAACAAGAGTTCCAGACTCTTTTCTTTTTGGGTGTGTCACTAGCTGCAGGTGCTGTGTTCCTTAGTGTCATCTATTTGACTTACACAGGTAGGTTCCATCACCCATAAAATAGGCATCTTTTCTCTAGATTATTCAAAAAGGTAATTCTTTCACATATGTTTTACAAATTTTATTTATCCTAGGAGGTCAAATATCGTGGTTGAATTATATACTAATAGTGCTAAAGTAATAAAGCTTTTAACATCTGAGTTGCATTAGTACAAATTGTGCTTTTTTTTTTTAAAGCAGCTTACTTTTGTTGCTTCAGGTTCTGATAAATTTATAAGCATCCTTTTGCTGGAAGAATAGGTCCAAACTCTTAAAAAATTTGGAGCTTCTAGTGGTAAACCTATTATGTGTTCAGTCACATTCTTTCCCCCTTAGTTTTTAAACAGTCAACCAAAATGAATTTCAGCTTTCTTATGGATTCTGAATTATTCTCTAACCCTGACTTCAATCCTTAGAAACAAGTCAGATTCTTTCCGAAGGTTTCTGTCAAATTAATAATGTATTGGCCTTATCTCATAAACTCATGAAGAACTGACAGTAGTAAAATCATTAAGTATTCAGAATCACCTATGTAACTTACCAGATGGGATTTGGAATGCTGTATTAGATCATTAAGACACACTCTCTTTAAAAAAGTTTTTTTAGTGTTTAATATCTTAGCCTTCTTTTACTAGTTACCGAAATGCTGAAAAGGTAATTGGGAAACTTCCTACAATCTTATCTAGCTACTTGTGTTGTTTTTCCTGGAAACAAGTTCTCCATGAGTTACTATTTTTATTGGACCACTACCTTATTTTATCTGACTGCCAATTATGAAATATATTGGCATCTATAAAAGCAAATTAAAATTCCTTGAACATTAGTTTAAATTAATCCATACTTAACAATAAAATAATTTAAAATTTACAAAATAATTTAAAAGGTAGATAATTTCTTCTGCATTTTTCCTTCCAAGGTTACATTGCACCGTGGAGTGGCAGATTTTATTCATTATGGGACACTGGGTAAGTGCAGATGTTATTTTGACTTCATAAAATACCCCTTTGTTTCTTCTGTTATGATGTTGTCAGTATTTCAATCAGTGCTTGAGCATCATTAAGTATGTAGAATATCCTAGTTTAGTAAATACTGAATCCCTTGTGTTTTTTACCTTTGTTAATATCTGTTTTTTTCTCTGGTACCGGGGGATCAAAATCAGGACCTTGCACTTGTAAGGCAGGCTCATTGCCAGTGAGCAGACTTCCTGGTCCTCTGTTAATATCTGTTTTGAATGAACCTTTAGAATGAAATGTGAGTTGTGTATTTGTTTTGCATGGTCAAATCCTTATTTTAGTTTTGTTTGTTTAAAACATTTTAATAACATTTGTACAATTTAAAGATTAAGGGGTTTTTTTTGCTTGTTTTACTAATGTGCATAAAAGATTCACCTTGAATATTTAATTTTTAATATTTAAGGATAAGGTGCTGTGTTATAAATCCATATGCCATAGATAATAAGAAAATTTAACTTTTTTCTACTACCATATAAGCTTTTTGTGTTTTTTTTTAAGTCTGTGAAATACATTAGAATATCTGTTTTTTTAGAGAGCTATTATTTAAAGTGAATAGAAATTTTTAGTTTTGAATTAGACAACTAGTACTAGTTCAGTAAAACTTTCTAAAATGTGTCCCTGGAGATAAGAAAATACATGTTAATGATCATTTATTCCCATCTGTTTCCTGCTGTTCTATATGTTCCTTTCTAGGTGATTCAATAAAAACGTACCACAATTATCAAATGAGCATGTCTTCTGATGTGATACCAAAAAGGCTCGTGTCCAGGTCTAATTAAAGGACATAAGCAAATTATGTAGGAATGACTGAAGCATACATTAAGAGTTCAGCCTGTGGCTCACTAAGGATTTGAGTTATAGAGTTATTCTGATTAGGCTACATATTAGGTTAACTTGTTAGCTATACTTATTCTTACTTTCTCGACTTTCTGAACTTTGAGTACTTTGGAATCTCGGGTTGTTTCAGAAATAATTTCCATTTCCCTCACTTGCCTCCATGCCAGCTCCTCAAGCAAGGCATTGTGGCAGTATTATGTCTTACAAGCTGAGGTATTTTCAGCTGTCAAAAGTCTAAAAGAGTGAAACTCATTGACGCAAATCAGGAGATGAAGATTAAGTACAGAAAAAATTCCTATTTGAACAAAGATTTTTGTTATAGAAAGCAGAGTCGGCAATTTTATGACTAGTCCTTGATAATTGTCTTAATTTTACAGAGGGCACATTAGTTTTAGTTTTACCAAAGTGGACCAAACAGATTCATTTCCACTATACCTGGTTAAATTAGGATATATGTTTAAACAGGAAGAGGTGGGAGTAGGAATCATATCTACAATCAAAGAAAATTTCGTCTAAAAGGAATTCCTGTTTTATCATTTAATTGTAAATAATATTAAACTTTTTTAATATCAGGTATGCAAAAATACACATTCCAATTATTGCATCAGTGTCTGAGCATCAACCTACGACTTGGGTGTCTTTCTTCTTTGATCTACATATTCTTGTATGTACCTTCCCAGCAGGCCTATGGTTCTGCATCAAAAATATCAACGATGAAAGAGTATT